TCACGGTGAGCTTTGGAAGGGGCGCTTCTACTTCTGCAAGTCTCCCTTCCATACATGAGGGTCACGTAAGGAAAACGTGCCGGGGATTCCAAGAGCGTTCTCATCTCTGCGTTTGGCACCCTAATTCATTCCCGAGGCAGCCTACTCCCCATGTCTCCCCTTCCTCTGGCAATGACGTAACCCTTTCTCCCTAACTCCTCAAGGTCAGCCCCAGGAAGGGAGAGGGAACGTCAGAAACGTAGGACAATCAGCATCTTGCTGAGGATTCTTTTTTTTCCTTTCAAGAAAATGTTTTCCAGTTTTACATATAATTGCTAATAAAGACGGACACACCTTTAGCCAAAGGAGAAGGGAAATGGCGTCCGGTAGTTAAGGCTGCCAGAGCCCAGGAGAGCGCTGGGACTCAGGCTGCCATCCTGGCCCAGGGCGACTGCAGCTCCTTGGGGCTGCAGCCTCCAACAAGGCTGAGATGCCCCAGGGTGGCTGAGGCTGTGAAGAGCAGGACCATCCTCCCATGCTCAGCCTAGGGCTCCCAAGGTGGCGGGGAAAGCCCTCCATCTCGCCCACCTTCAGTCTGCATCCGCCCACAGTCATCCCTGAACACACTCGCCCACGGGCTTCCTGGGGGCCATTGGGATCTCACACAGGCTTCCCGCTGGGGACTGGAGCAGTTTCTCTCCCTCCACCCTCTTTTCAACTACCCGGAAAACTCCGCTGCCCTCTCAAGCCCCCACCGAACAGCTCCGCTTTTTACCTTCCTCCCCGCTCCAAGAAGGTAAGCTTCTCTTCCCTGTTACCCCCACACCCCTCCAGAGCCACCTGCACGTATGCGTCCGACAAACACACTCACGCAGCACACACCGGCAGGCAGCCTCCTGCTTGAACCGCACGCACAGTGTTGACAATCCCATGTTGTCCAACTGGAGGCACACCGGCGCTGGACCAACACAAACATCCCTCCCGCCCCCACCCGAAAGGCAACACAAAGGCCACCATGAATTTCAAGACCAGACGACGTCTGTAGAGCGAGAGCTGCATAGGACAAAGACATCACTCCATCCTCCCGACGAACCACGACAACTCTGGGATAATGTGCAGTGCCCTCTGGCTTGACACAGCCCACTGAGCAGAGCCGTATGTGGTGGTGTGTGTGAGAGAGTGTACATATGTGTGGGTGTGGGGGAC